CGACGTATTTATTTCCTTTAATAGTAATAATTAAAGTTAATATAAAACTAAGGAAGGAAGTAAACCGGGGAATTAATAGAAATTTAAAAAGAAACGAAAGGGTATTTAGTAAGTTAAATCCTTCCGCGTTTATTAAATTCTTAAGCCCCTCCTTCTTTATTTTTTATTATATACTTTTTAATTAAATTTATAACCTAAAAACTTTTTTATATAAATTATTTATAATTTTATTATTTTTTTTTCCGTAACGCTTATAATTTTATAGTTTTTATAATAACGATCTTTTCTTTAAGCCTTTACTACCGTTAAATCCTCCTTTTTACCGTACGAAATACCTTTTTAAAAGTAAGTACGGTAATACTCTAAAACCTAAAAACTATATTCCTATACCCCGCCCTATTTACTATAGACTAACCTCCTTACTTTTACATTAAAGCTATAGTAAAAAGCGTAATAAATATAAAATATTAAATAAAAAATAGTATTAATTTAATATCCTTTTTAATTTTTTAATAAATCTATATAAATTAAAATATTAATAGTAACGTTATAAATATTTATTATTTAGTAACTTCCGTTATTAATATAAATAGAGAGGATTTAATATTATTAGTTAAAAGCGTTATAATTATTATTAAATAAAAAAAAGCGTATCGATAACTTTATTATAATAAAGTTTAAAGGCTTTTTAAGGATCTATATATAACGTTCGAGGATTTTTTAAAGAAAGTACCGAAAAGCGTAGGTAAGGACCAAACTAATAAATTACTATTTAATTTTTAATTAATTTTAAAAATTATATATAATATAAATAAAGGAAGTTATATAAATATTATAAATATAAATCCGATTAAAGGGGATTGTTATTTTTAAATTAAAAAAAAGATATTTAATAGTATTAATCGAAAATTATTTTACGAAAGTAATATTAATTTAGTCGGGCCGCTTTCTTATAATATAATCTCTTAAGTCGGTAATTATATTAAGGCTAAAATAAATAGACTAGAGAGTATTATTACTTTAAGGAAAAAAAATATTACGCGGGGGAATAGAGCTATAAACCCTATTGATACCTTAAAGGCGTACTAAACGAATAATCTCTTTAATAAGATCATTAGGAGGGCCAAATTCCT